GGTTTTCCTAACAATGATAAACTAAAAACTGGTACTTAGGCTAGTTTTTAACTTAAACTCTTCTAACTTAACATTACTTTCCTTGGTCCATTTTTCATAGAAAACAATTTTACTGCTTGTGTGTACCCCTCAATCCATAATCTACAATATCTCCATAGTCTAAGTAGTTTTCTGATCTCCCCCTTTGAAGAGGGAGGGGGAAGGGGTAAAATTCCTGCAATTTTCTCATGGTTGAGTTCCCAGCTACCTTTATTTGTTGTCTAAGATATTTTACCTCTGGTTCTACAAATTACAGTTTCCCTGTTGACACTCTTAATTCATTTTCCTCCAGAAAACTCAAAAGTTATAGAGTAGCTTCTCTAACTTCAACTTTTAGTTTCTCAAAAAAATTAGTTTTTATTGGGCTTCTTTACTGGGAGAACAGGGGTATTATGAGAAGACATATAAAGTTCTTTTATTACTAGCTTCAGATTTTCCCATCCTTCTAAAGATATGTGATACTGACATACATGTATGGGATAATCTTCTCTCTCAGTTGTAACCCTTATGGGTCAATATTTAATCCTTCCCTATTTCCTTCCCCAGCCCAAACTTTTTTAATAAATAAATCCAGAGTTTAACAAATCCAAACTTCTGCTTGGATACTTTGAAATGGTCGACAAGCTAACTTACGACCTCCTCATGTTGTTTTCTTACAATTTTTTTTTTCTCATTTGGAGTTAATATTGACATAACTCTTCCAGCTCCATTTTCTGTTGCATCTTTAGATTCCTGTTGTGTTCAATTATTTCTTCTTATTTCAGTGATCTCAACCTTTTAGTGTTCTTTAATGGGTACTACAGCTATCTCTTCAGGTAATTTTGATGCTTCTAAAACTTCTAAAATGAGCCCCTCATGTACTAATCGTTTTCCTCTTGAATTAAGTAGTTCTCTTTCTTCCCAAATTTTTCCAAAGGTATGTACTACTCCAAAGGCATATCTTGAATCAGTATACATATATTTCCTTTCTTGTGTGCTAAATATTCCAGTGCTCTTTTAGAGCATATAATTCACAGGTTTGAGCTGACCAGTTGATAGTAATTTACCTCTTTCAACAGTTTGCATGTTTGCGGGTTTTTTTCCCCATCAACTACTGTATATGCTGTATTTTCTCCTTTTGCAAGGAGTTGTATTTCTGTTAGCTAACATAACTCCCAAAGGGCTGTCCTGGGGTATCTCGCTAGCATGTTTTTATTCCCCCTTTTTCACGTACCCAACTTACTGGTTCTCTATTGTATTTCCAAGATCTTATCTATTCATCCTCTGCCTCTGTTTCTCACTCTCACTAACAGCTTAAACATCGCTTTTCTTTCAACTACTCACACCCAAAAATAAAGAACTTTTTTCTCACACTACTTTTCAATACCTACACCTCCCTCCAAGGAGATTTGGTAAAGCTTAAAATGCACAATCTACATTACATATACTTTTATTCGTTTACATTATTCACTTTTATTTCTCATTCACTTTCACGCATTCTTTCACACCCTCAGGACACAAAGCAGATCCCTGTCGCCAGGGAATCACGAGTCTCTGTGGCCCCCCCTTCGCCTTGGAGGTGGCCTCTGGGTTTCAGTACCCCAGGCTTCCTAGAAGGGCCCTGGCTCTGGTGCCTCTGGGCCAGTTCACTCGTGAGGCAGTCTGCGTGTCTGTCACACTCTTTAGCCACAGCCCCCTTCACACGCCAGGGAGAAGAGCGGCCTAATCGCAGGTCACTCACACCTCAGCCAGAGTTCGCACCTGCCGGGACACAAGGGCCTAATCGCAGGTCACTTATACAACAAGACAACAATAAGGTACCTTTTACTTTCAAACCACCTATTACAATTTTAGGTGTTACTGGCCAGTCCCGGTGCTATTGGATATCCTTCCATCCAGCTGTGCTGTCCAACCCCAGATGTTCTTGGGAATTTTGTCCCTCAATCCAGCTGTGCAGTCCAACCCCAGATGCTCTTGGGCATTTTATCCCTCAATCCAGTGGTGCAGTCCAACCCCAGATGTTCTTGGGAATTTTATCCCTCAATCCAGCTGTGCTGTCCAACCCCAGATGCTCTTGGGCATTTTATACCTCAATCCAGTGATGCGGTCCAACCCCAGATGCTCTTGGGCATTTTTTTCCCTCAATCCAGCTATGTGGTACAACGCAGATGCTCTTGGGCATTTTTAATTTCTGGCTGTGTTGTCCAACCCTGGATGCTCTTGGGTAAAAAAATTCTATCCCTCCATCTAGTTGTGCTGTTCAACCCCGGATGCTGTTGGTTAAAATTTTTATCCCTCAATCTGGCTGTGTTGTCCAACCCCAGATGCTCTTGGGCAAAATTTTTGTCCCTCAATCTGTGTTGTCCAACCCCAGTTGTTTTTGGGCATATCCTCAACCGGCAGAATTCTGCTCAACCCTGGATGCTCTTGGAATTTAAATCCCCCAACCCAGCAGGTTTCAGGGGCCCCTCTTTTCCTGTTTCCTAGGTCTCTTTACTGGCCGTTTTCCGCGCGGAAAGATGGAACCGCAGCACGGGAGACTCCACACTCGGGTAGCAGGTCTGGGACAACCAGCCCGTCTCTCATTCACACACATTCATCCCCCCGTACCTGCCCCCCCGAAAAGTACTCACCAATTCTTTTTCCTTTCTGGCTTCTTCGTGCGCACTACTACTCTTAGGGGGCCAATTACCACGGTTTCAGAAAGGGAGCCTTTTTCCCCTCTCTTTGTTTTATTGCCTCTCTTTGTGCACCGATGTAATCTGCACCTGTCGGTTGCACCAGGGGAACCAGAGCGAGGCTGCCAAATCGGGCAGGGCGCGCCTCCCCACTCTGACTCTCCTAAGGCACCGGCAGCGAGCTGTGAACCATCCTCTACTACCATAATTGTGAAAAACCAATCACTTGTTTTTGACATTTAAAAAGATTAATAGTAGCAATATAATCAGAATAATAAAGTTTGAACTGTTGAGGTTAGGACAATATGAGACAATAAAAACAAAGAGACACGGACGTCCGGGTACCTTTTTCTGGGCATCAGGAGCCCGAAAAAGGACCCCCGTTAACAGAGAATTAACCCTTAAAAACAATCGCCTGTTGCATATTCATACACCTCATACATGATGCATAAATTCCATTCAAACACAGGATTCTGTCTGGTCACTGTCAACTTCTTCCTCTGAATCCTCATGCTCCTGTCTGAGCGAGGTGGGAAGAAGTTAGTTTTCTGCTGATAAGGGAGCAATCAATTCCCTTTCTCTGAAAGATTTAGGTGTCCTGTGGCGTCTATCTGGTGCCAGTCCTTTCTTAACCAAATATCTTACATAGCATAGTTTCTCTTTTAACATTATATTATAACCTAAAACAGTATTTAATAGTTAATTTAACACTTTAGAAAATTAATACAGCATAACTTTCTAACATAACACATACAATATTAATTTTAATACTTGTGAAAAGCCAATCATAAAATACACATTTTTCACACAATACATTATAATAAAAATGAAATATAGTAATTTCAACTCTTACTTACAATACTGCAATAGAGTCAACCTAAAACAACAACTATCAGTATACCAATATCCATAAATATAAATAAGCAAATTATATAACAGGAAATACCTGCTGAAAGTTTTGACTGAATAGTTAACATACTTTAGATAAAAAATAACTAAGAAAACTAACATACAATCTAACACACCTTATTGAAAGAATTCATATTACAAACGTACTAAATACAAAATCAAGCAGCACTATAATTTTTCATACATTTTAACCAAACAATTAAACTTTAATAACACCCTTAAGTACTTTAAACCAATTTAAATTATTTTAAAAATTTAATTGTGGGTGAGTGGTTTTATTTGGATATTGGTGTTTGGATTGTTTGAGGTAGATGATTTAAAAAGTGGGATTTTATAGGAATTTAACCAGCTGAGAAGGCAGCACTCTGCAAACAGAAGTGACTGAAAATGAAGGGGACAGAAATCAGTACCTCTGAAAGTTTTATTTGCTGTCAAATACATCCCACCCAGCCAGCCCCAGACAATCCCCATCCCACCGCTCCAAATTGGGATCCCACTGCTCCCAATCCCCTTCCAACCCCATCTCACCCTGGTGGCTGTGGAATGGAGTGAGTTTGGTATAAGATTGAGGTTTTTGAGGAGGGAACAAGCAATTTGGGGTAGGATTGATCCTTTATGGATAAAAATTCAGTTGTTTTCAGTGGGATTTGAGTGGTTTTGAGGTGACAGGTCAATCCCTCTTGGCTTCTAGAGGGCAAAGAGAGGAAGGAGAGAAAAAAATTAAGGCCAAACCAAAAGGATAGCCAGCCAGGTGTGTTCCCAACATGGATCACAGGGAATGTGGGTCACCAGGGCTGTGCCCAGCGTGGCTCCTGCAGTGGGGGATGGAGCTGGAGCAGCGCACGAA